CACAAAGTTCGATAAATTAGTTTTAAACACATTTAATTAATTCGTTAGTAACTAAGTTTTGCCTTATAAAATATTAATATTTGCATTAATTTTTTTTTTGTTCCTTAGCCACTGAGCATATGCTTAATACACCTAAGAGCACATTATAAATCATATCAATAGTGGACCTCATCAAATATTATTATTAAACATAAAATAAAAAAAATCACCAGATAAATATCACTTATATGCCATGTTGAATGCAAGTATTTTCCTAGTCATTGCAGATATTAATAGTATAATAATAATATTTTGGCGCTTACACCTTTGCCAAGTGTTTGGCCAAGCTTCTCCTCCAATTTGTGGTGTGTGAAGTAAATACGAATTATTTTTATTAATATTAAAAAAAATATTAAATTATTTTATTTTTTTACTTTAAAAACATATGAAATATGTTTAAGCCCATTTTTAAACAAATTTAAGGTTTTAGAAAGACTGTACTTTTTTGTTGTCACAAAAAGGCGAGGACCTACATTTTTACGCCGCCTCCGAACAGTAAATGCATTTTGTGAGAAGCTTTTTCAAGGCAGAAATACACACGGAGGCAGTGTTGAGCTTTAAACAATTAATTTTTCAATTATCTTGTTGTGGTATGATAGAAGATTTAATGCTAAGTAAATATTTTCAGAACTTTGCACATACATTTTTCACAAAATCTACAAAAAACAAGTTATTTATTTCAGCTGTTATTTATATTTGCTTGTGCGGCCGCTATAGTAGAGTGGTTTGAGGTATGTACTACCTGGGTTCGATCCCTGGTCCAANGCATCAAAAGAAAGTTTTAAAAACAAGATCTTTCTTAACAGCGATTGCTCCTCCGTGCAGTGTTGGGCAAATTTGAATTGCAAGAACAATTAATTAATTAATTGTTAATTTCTATCACTACTACTATCACCACTAACAATTGGTTAATTGTAATTGTAGAGAATAACAATTAACAATTAACTAATTGTAATTGTTGTGGAGAATAACGGTGATATTCTCTAGTTAGCAATTAACAATTTTTTAATCGGTTTGTAAATTTTGTTAAAAATCAATCATTATAAATGNACCTGGAATACTAACGGTCGCCACATTGTACAGTGGCCTTGCGCGGCTGAGTTCCACGCCCTCTTGACGCCTTGTTTGCTGTACTTATTTCAGTTTTTAACATGTTTGTTGGCTATTTTCTGTTTTGAACTTAATTTTTTTTTTACTTTTCGAGAGGGGTTCCTATGAAGAACAAGTTCTAAAATGGTTGGAAGAAATATCGTTGAATGGAACCGATAGTGAGAACTATTTGGAAGAAGATTTCAGTGAATGCGCCTTATGAATAAAAACTAAGCAGTTGCTTTTTCTTAAGATTTCAAACCTTTTGCTTGATTTATTCGAATAACTTTACGTAAAAGATCTGAAATTTTAAGAAAAAAGTATTGCTTAGTTTTTATTCATAAGGCCCAATGTGATACATAAAAGTCGATTTCATTTTTAAGTACAGGTCACAATAGAAAAGATAAACAACTAATTACTTTTAAGTATGAAAGTAAATACGAATACCTTTGAGATAATTTATGGATTGTTTGAGTGCGTTTGCTTTTAAATGGTTTTTTTAATCTTTTAAAATGACCCCTTTCAAAAAGATTATAAAATATGTGTTATTTTCAATACGAATTATTTTTATTAATATTAAAAAAAAAATTAAATTATTTTATTTTTTTACTTTAAAAACATATGAAATATGTTTAAGCCCATTTTTTAAACAAGTTTAAGGTTTTAGAAAGACAGAATTTGTACTTTTTTACAAAGTAGTCTCACAGGCGAACGTTAGAATTAAAGGAATAAAAAATAAGGTATTCTAGGGTTAATTGGTTTGTAAATTTTATTAAAAATCAACGATTATAAATGCCTATTATATAGGCCAGGAGTGTGAATATGACAACCAGCCACAACCCAGGCCTGTGCCGTATTTCGTTTTTTTTTTTTATAATGTCGAATTTCCACTAGGCATTGAAATGGCAAAAAATTCATGCCATTTAAAAAATGCCATGTGGAAAGGAACTTAATGACTATTTTTTACACATAAAAACACGATAATTTTTCAATGCCCAATGTTGTCATTTGCCATTTTTGCCATTTAATGCCAGTTTAAGTAGGCTAATTGTTATCAAAAAAGTAATTGCAATTAAACTATTTGCCGTGTGCAATACCCAATTAAATGTTTAATTGCAATTAAAATTTTAATTGCGCATTGCAAACAAATTAATAAATAATTGCAATTACTTTTTTAATATTTTAAAAAAAGATTGAAAAATTATTTGATTAACGCTCAACACCGCCTTCGTGTGTATTTCTGCCTTGAAAAAGCTTCTCCCCGCCTTTTTGTGACAACATCAAGCCACACACCACAAATTGGAGGAGAAGCTTGGCCAAACACTTGGCAAAGGTGTAAGCGCCAAAATATTATTATTATATTATTAATATCTGCAATGACTAGGAAAATACTTGCATTCAACATGGCATATAAGTGATATTTATCCGGTGATTTTTTTTATTTGATGTTTAATAATATTAATTGATGAGGTCCCCTAATGACATGAATTATAGTTTGATCTTAGGTGTATTAAGCATACGCTCAGTGGCTAAGGAACAAAAAAAAATTATTGCAAATATTCATTTTTATAAGGCAAAACTTAGTTACTAACTAATTAATAAATGTGTTTAAAACTAATTTATCGAATTTTTATAAACTCGTTCTAATAAGCTGATATTTTCCAACCTACCTATAAAATTTCAGCGAAACACGACAAGATTTGATAAAAATATACCTATTTGTTAATAAGGATGCATCTAAATCTGTAGTTTCCGGAAAACAAATAACAGCGTGAGTGATCTCTAAATCTTGTTCAAATAAGCTGAAATTTTAGAAGGAACTTGTCTTCCCTCTTATCTTCAAGAATCCGAACGTTCTCAGTCGAAATTCAAAAAAGTTTCAATTTTGAATCACCCTACTACGCACTGTGCTAAGTTCGCCTTGTGAATTCTTGTTGCTTTTTCCACTATTTCACTTGTTAAGCCAACTACAATCAAGCGCAGCTATTCCAGTGCTATTTAAACTAGATCATGTGGTTGTTGGTTTTGTTGGTTTTTGTTAATATTTCTATTATTAGAATCTTTAACTTTTAGGTGTGCTCGTCTTTAAGTTATTTGTTTTTGTTATTTTATGACCTTATAGCAATTATATTCAACAATTTATATTAAGCTTGAGGCCGTTTTTAATGAAAAACTTCCTGTAGTCAAACGAACTAGTTGTAAACTACCTCACAACTAATATGAACCGCATGCCCAACTAGTCGGCCAACTATCTTTTTTCCATGCAATCAACTGGTATTTTTAACATGGGGATGTCCTACGAGATGGCAATTGTTAGATTTCGGTCAAAAATATATCAGTATCATACTAGTTCAAAATAGACAGAAAAATACTAATGTAATTATGGACCAAAACCATTACTTTGGGAGTCNCCAGAAAAATAATAGTGTAATTATGGACCAAAACCACTACTTTGGGAGTCAAAAAATAAAATNACAGAAAAATACTAGTGTAATTATGGACCAAAACCACTACTTTGGGAGTCAAAAAATAAAATGAATTCATGAATATACAATAAAAAACTTTTAAGTACACTTTAATATATAACACATTTTTATTTAGCAGCCTTAGATTTGCNTTTTAAGTACACTTTAATATATAACACATTTTTATTTAGCAGCCTTAGATTTGCCAATAATTAGTGTTACATTTTTTGAGTATTAATTAAAAGAAAAAATAAATACATAGATATTTCAAACTTTCGAATATAACTTTAAATTTATTTTTCATTAAATGTTATTAAAAGTAAAAGGCTTCAGGTACAATAAATACTATATTTTTTAATAATATGCAATATGCAAAAGAAAACATTTTAGTTAAAAATAAAATGAATTCTTTAGATAATTTTTGAGTGAACTAAAATAAAAATAAAAGTTTTCATTAAAATAAATTAAATTCATTAACTTTGCACATTTCAGTCTATTATTTTTAAAAATTTATAACAGTAATAATTAATGTTTAAAATTTGAGATTTGGATAAGAATAAAATAAATCAATAATTCAAGCAGTTATTAAATATTCTTAATTTTTGTCTATAGCTTGTTGATTGATAATAGAAAGTTATCAAANTATCAATTAATTATATTAATAGTGTAATTAAAAAGTAAAAAATAATTGAAAATGATCAATAATAACAAAATAATGATGTAATTAAAACTAATTAATTAATTAACATTTTTTAAAGTAATTAATTATTAATCATTGAAAAGGTGGTAATATCGGTATTTGATAATTAAACGGTTATCAAAAAAAACATGCCTTAATTAATAATCATTATGTGTATCTATCATTATTTAACCGGACTGGTATAACTGAATACGTATTCGATTTAATGGTTTACAATATACCCAAACAAAAGTTATAATTGTGTACTTTATTGTATTAAACTGTCGAAATTAAATAAAACAGGGCCTTAATAAATCGTCTTGTACTTGGTACAAGTCTGGTCATTTTCGAACTAGTTCGGTTTCTGTCAGGGAATTCTAGTTGTAAACTAGTATTTTTCCTGACTAGTTCCGGATTTCACTGCAGGGTTATTGTGGAAAAGCAACAAAAACAAACAAAGAACTTAGGCGGTTATTGTTTATGGCCACAGATCTAATAAGTACAGGTCAGGTCATATTGTTTCTTATACATACCGATTTACAAAATTAATGTGCAAACTTTTAAAACGCCGATGCACATATTTTTTATCGTTTGGTCGCCACTACAAGAATCCGTTTTCGGAACCTGGTTATTTTTGATAAAACAATTAATTTTTTTTCAATGCTGTTAAATATACATAGTATTATGTATGACTTTATATTCACAATTAGTATATTTTAATATTTCAGTGACTCCAACCCCGTTCTAATTTCCTTACCGCCAGAGTTGGCTGGCATGACGCTAGAAGCAAGATTAATTTCCTATGACTGGCAAAATCATTTCGACGAGTTTCAAGTGGCAACTAGAAGTGGATCTTTCAAACCTCTTTGCTGGGGTGCCAAAAATCATGTTATTCCCGTAAGTATTCAAGAAATGTTATTTGTTTCATATCTCACACGTTCTTCAACTCTAAAAGGAATTTATTTACACAAAATGTGTTAAATCAAAAAATGTAAGGGTAGGCGCTAGACTTAGGTAGTTTTAGAACTAAATGAACTAAAGAACTAGTTAATTTCAATGAACTAGTTCACTAGTTCGGTTTCTTCTTTGATCTTAATTTGTCAGTGCTATTTTTGATTTTGGATCGCGATCCAAATATTCTTTTCACGAAACTGTGTCTTATATCCCCATATTTACTGATACGTTTTAAAACGCGTTTGCACTGTTGCTACCAGGGCTGCCAACTTGGCGCAAGCCGTGCCATTTTTGGCCCTATTTTACTTCAAATGGCACTAAATTTTTTAATTTGGCACAAAGCGCAAAATGGAACTTTTGAAAAAAAGTAATATTTCCACATATTTTTGTGAAATCCTTTGCGTATTGTTCTTTTTCTTAACTAAAATTTTCTAATTTCTATAGTGTATAAAACTGGTTTGTATTAAAAAAAAAAATAAAATGTTAATAAGCCACAATAACATTGACAAATACTGGTTTGTCTTACTTTGGCATTGGACTTTTGTTTTAGAAAAATGTTCCTAATTTTAATGCTAAATAATGGCAGCTTTTTTTGCACTTTTATTTTTCAATTTGGCACATTTTGACATTTTTTTATCCTCAATATGGCACTTCATAGCTAAGTATAGTTGGCTGCCCTGGTTGCTACTTCAATTCCTTGATAACGAACTAGAACCGAACGGTTCACTTAAAAGAACTGATGTGCCAAACTCTAGTAGGCACTGTGGCCAGTGATAACCACCAGTTACCACCTCTGCATGATTGTAAATCCCTACGGGTTGTGCCGCTGTGGCTTTGCCGTTTAGCGCAAACTCCAGAGAAATTTATTGGGCGATGTAAGCATTGTGGTATTTATTAGTATAAAAATTGCGGATAGGCAGCCTTGGCCAATTGGAACTACTGTGACTTACACAAGTATTCACGTGTAGATTATTTGAATATTCACATCATTTTTCAAGTAAATTTTTTTTGTTGTGTTTCTGTAAAAATATTGTCCAAGCTTTATCCAAAAAAATACAAATCAGAGTTTCAAACAGGGACTGTAACTGTTATGAGTCTTTTCCATAAAATTATCTTCAGATTGTTGTTTTCTTACTTTTTTACCATAAAGTCAAAAGAAATAAATTATTTTTTAACCTATACAATTAAATTCAACTTAATGTGTTATTTTATGACTTTTCTGTTTTTAACCAGAAATAAAAGTATTTATGACAGATCTTTTTTTCTGCTTTTCATGACAGTTATACTTGGCCTTTTAATTTTTCTATCCTAAAATAAAAGTACATATACGACGGAAAATTTAATTTTCGTTGAAAAAAGTCACCTTAAAACTTTTGTGTGTAGGAAAATATAATAAAAGTCCTTCATTTTAATTTCTGTTTTAAAATATTTTCTGTAAAGTTTTAGGCTAGTGGAACAGTCTGTGGAGAGTTCATAGTTTTATATTGATGATATTAATTTCATTCTAGGTATATGTACATATCGGTGGTCCTTTGCAATATCGACACAACTAGAAATTTCATATTTTTCGGTGGAGCCAATTAAAGATTTTGTGTTTCGCAATTTAGCAATATTATAAATACAGTCTCTCTGTAGGGAAAATTTTTAAGCTTTCAAATTAAAGATTAAGTAAGGGTTATACTGAAAAAATAGGAAATAAGTAAGAACTCCTAAGTAGCTGCAAAAAACGAGCTCCACTGGTACTACTGAAAAACGGCACAAAACCAAAAATGTCGTTAGTTCCCATAAAAAAAATACTAATTGCCTTACTGAAATTATGTAATGAACGACGACATAATACGAAAAATGTCGTTATTTTTCATAAAAGCATCAACCGTTCACGATGTTTAACACCTTGCTAAATATATCTCAACATAAGTTTTCGAAAACAAATTTCAAACAATTGTAGACTCTCACAAAAAAAGCACCTCGTCATAAAAAAAAAAAAAATATTTTAAAAATAGTTCTCGAAAAACGCCCACTTTTTTGAAACATTTTTTTATCTTATTACATTAAACGAGCAATTCTTGTATATATACATATATATATCCATAGGATTCTCGGAAACGGCTCTAACGATTTTGATGAAATTTTGTACACAGATAATGTTTTGGATTTTAAGATTATCTGTATAGGCATAATCTCCGAGAAGACTCGTATAAGGTTGCCACCTATTCGAAACTAGTTACCATTAATTAAAAAATCATGATATGTGTATCAAATGGAAGGTATTTTAAAGACCCCTAATTCAAAAATATTTTTAAGAGGGTTGTTACCCATTTTGAATCGCGAGTTTATTTAAAATTTTGTATAGAAAAAAAGGTAAAATATTCATGGGTACCAAGAGAAGCTCCTTAAACAATGCTTTCCCTATATACAAAATGTGATCCCTTAGGATAATAGTGTAAGGTTGCCACTTATTTTCGATTCTTCACAATTTATCTAAGACATCGCAATATGGATATCAAATGAAAGGTATTGTTAAGAACTTTGGTCAGAAAATATTTTCGATCAAGGTTGCCATGCTTCTATTTAATACAAATTTGTATTTTGTTAATTTCATTCAGCATTTTTTGTAAGTAAACACAGTACATATACGCTTAAGACTTGCACTATGGATTCCAACGTATTTCGGAATGGGGTTGCCACCTAAATTTTAGAGTAAGAAATATATAAGTCATAAAATAACACTTAAGTTGAATTGAATTGTATGGGTTAAAAATAACTACTAATTGTTAGTTTTTGGGTCAAAATTTACATTAAAAACGAATTTGAAGCTTAAAAAACTGAGCATTTTGGCATTTGAAAGTATATGTGTGTGACAGCTTTCTCATAATGATTTTTAGTTTAAAATTGTTTACATAACAGTTATTTTCGGTCGCTGGTTTCAAACTTTATACAATATTTAGAAAAATGAAGCAAATTTTCATCAATATTTCGAGCTTTTTAATTTGAATCTTTACGACATTTCTTGGTACAGAGTTTTACCATGGGCTCGAGCATTGCTATGCCATGTCATTCCATCTCAAACATACTGTTATAGCATGTCACTGCTTCTTAGCTCAGCTGTTGTTTGCTGTATTTTTAATACTGTTTAATCCCGGGCAAGACCGAGCCACATCTAAGTTCTAAATGCTACAACGAGCCACAAAAAAAGAACAAGAAAAACAAAAATTTTATTGTTAAATAAAATTATTATTAGAAATGAAAAACATTAATTTTATTATTATTCTATTGTACGTAAGATAGATATAAAAGAACATTCAAAAGATCCCTTTGGGGGGTTTTTCAAAATCTGGTTTTAGGTCAGTTAAAGCTGTTCGTTTAAAATCTCCAGTAAAAAATGTCCACCGCGAAATTCCGGCGAAATGTCACACAAGAGAAAAATATCCAAAATAGTACGCGAACAGAAAATTTGCAGAAATTTGCAAATTAGACGAACAACTGATAGAAATATTGTTTACATTCAAAAAAATTTAAAACGTAAGAAAACAAATCTCGAAGTCTTATCCTGGCACAGTTCACGAATAATTACTTACTTCTTATAAGTTTAATTAGTCGCTTTTTACTATTTTAACTTCAAAACCATCAAATTCAATTTAGAGATTTGCATAAATTCCAACCAGCAGTTTTTGATCAGCTGTTTTCTTGTAGGCAAATCGCTGTTGGCAAAAATTTTTCCAGCAGAAACTAGCAGATTTCCCTCAAATAAAATATCATTTTGCTCTCTCAATTTCCCTACTTTGCAAGTTTTTTGCGTACGCGAACACAAAAAGCTGATAATTTTTATAACTTTCAATAATTAACAGGTACGCGAAAGCAACTAATTGTGAACGGTATTTTTACTTTACGTATTTCATTGTAAAATACAAAGACTCACAGTTATACGTTGTACCAAACATTTAAAATATACGGCACGCAGCTGTTTTCAAAAGTGAATATTTTAAATCTGGCACTTGTTGCCGGAATTCAAGCAATGGCAAAGCTTTATGTTGCATTTCCAGGGCCTTATCTACTTTTAACTGTTTCGATGCGAAAAGCAGAGAAATCTCGGTTTTAGTTATTTTCTTAAATTTGGGACTAGAATGCCGTACGATAATGGAGATCTAACTATTCCATGCCTCTTAGACTTTTCTAAGGCATTTGACTCAGTCAACCACTCTTTGTTATGTCGGAAACTCAGGCACTACTCTGCATTCTCTAATAGTGCGATAAAACTTTTGTCTAGCTATCTTAAGGGCATAGTTCAACGAGTTAAAGGTGAGAATGTTTCTTCACAGTTCAAAGCTATCAAAGCAGGTGTCCCTCAGGGATCAATCCTTGGTCCTCTATTGTTTAGTATGTTTGTAAATGATGTATTTTCGGAGTGCAAATATGTAAATGTCCATACGTATGCTGATGATATTCAGCTGTACCTTTCGAATCGTATAGCTCTCGTCGAGGATATATGTTATAAGGTTAATAGTGATCTGTCCGGTATCTTGCTAAGTCGTATGTCATGCCTATATGTAAAAGTGTAATAGACCCTACCAACATCCCACCTCTGTGGATTGGTACAGCCGCCCTCATGACCACTGAGAAAATTAGGAACTTAGGCTTTATTGTAAATAATAAGTTAAGCTGTTGTGATCATGTTAATAAAGTAGTATGTAATGTGTATGTAACTTTACGTAGGCTAGGAATGTCTGCTTCGTTTACGCTTCAGGAAACACGACTTGCTATGCAGTTAATTTTGACCCATTTCACAAATTCCGAAATAGTTTGTAGCAAACTTGATTCAAAGTCAGTCAGCAAGTTGAATGTAGCTTTCAGTAACACGGTACGTGTATGGCATTGGACGATAAGCTCATATATCGCCGTGGCGCGATAAAATTCTTGGTTGCAGTATTATACATTTTTTGGCTGCAAGAAACAGCATTTTTTTGTATAAATTGTTAGAGTGGAATGTCCCGCAATATTTGTATGAAATGCTTCAACTAACCAATTCACAGAGACATAACAGCTTGGTTGTCCCTAAATATAATTCGCTTACTTCCAGTCGACTGTTTTTCATTAGCGCTGTAAGACTGTGGAACTCGATTCCAGAAAGTGTTAAAGCTAGACTGAATAGAAGCAACTGCAAA